GTGGCTTTAAACTGAAAGATGGATTTAGATTAGATGTAGGGAAGAAATTTTTTACACTGAGGGTGGTGATACTCTGGCTCAGGTTGTCCAGATTGATGGTAGATGCCCCATCCTTGGAAACATTCAAGGTCAGGTTGGACGGGGCTCTAAGCAACCTGATCTGGTTGAAGATGTCCCTGTCAGTGCAGGGGGGTTGGACTAGAGACCTTGAAAGGTCCCTTCAACCCAAACCTCCAACCTCCACCTGCAGCATCCTCTTAGCAGGTCCCATCTCCCTCTCTCCCCACAGCTACTGGGCTGATGATCGGGTGCCTGATCTACCCCGACGGGTGGGACTCGAGCGAGGTGAAGCGAATGTGTGGGGACAAGACGGACAAATACACGCTGGGCGCCTGCACCGTGCGCTGGGCCTACATCCTCTGCATCATCGGCATCCTGGACGCGCTCATCCTCTCCTTCCTGGCCTTCGTCCTGGGGAACCGGCAGGATCACCTCCTCCCTGCTGATTTTAAAGTGGAAAATAAAGGTAAAGGCAGCTGGGGCTGAGCTCTGAGCGCCCACAGAGTGTTTCCAGCCCACAGCTGGATGCTGGTATCTGGGAGGATGATGGTTTCCTCCAGTGGGAGAAGCTGGGGAGCTGTGGTGGTCACCACATCGCTCCGTAGGGATGGAGAGAAACCAGAAACAGCACAGGGCAGGAGCCCGGACTGAGCCAGGCGACATTTCACACACTAGAAACTTTCTCCCCATCCTGTTTTAAAATCTTTTATCCCTTTTTGAAAACAAACCTGGAAAAAACCAAACCAAACCCAAACCCTTCAGTTTTACAAACCAAAACCAACCCCAAACCCTTCAGTTTTACAAACCAAACCAACCCCAAACCCTTCAGTTTTACACCATGTCCCACTGACGCTGTAATTCTCTTTTCCAGAAGAAGGCAACGACTGACAGAGCTGATCACGGCGTAAGTGATGCCCACAGGGATTTGGGATGTTTCTTCCCAGCTGCTGGGGTATTTTGGGGATAACTAAAGGACTGAGAACTATAGAGAGTTTGGTGCTATAAGGACATTGGTTTTAGTTGTGGTTAATCAGGAAAGAGTCTGCTTTACCTCCTGAAAGCAGAGCAGAAAGGCTGGCCAAGTGAGCGAAAAAAGGGAAATAAAAGAAAGAAAAAATAAGGAGAAAAAATAAGGGGAAAAATAAGGGGAAAGAAAAAATAAAAGGGAAAGGAAAAAAGAAAACAGTTAACACAGCTGACCTTTTCTTTCTCTTCCCAGGACACCCAGAGCTCTCCTCCATCAGCTCCAAGACACACAACCTCCTTTTTCATTAAAAGGACTTTTCCAGGAGCTTTAAACTCACCAACTTCTGTGGATTTTCTACAGCTGTTTCCACCCACGGGGCCGCTCTCAGCTCACGCCCAGTTTATTTAATGGGAAAAGCCCAAACTGGACACAGGTTTTCAATTTTTTTTTGAGTCCATCAGGAAACCTGAGGAAAAGGGGAGGGATGGTGATTTGCTTCTTCTTGGGGATTTGTACAACACCTTCTTTCAAGGAAATTCCTTCTGAATTAAAAAGTCTTTAGGATTTTGTGTGAGTCTCCTTGGGGCAGGGGAAGTTCTCTGCCATGTCCCAGGTTGCTCTTGTCGTTGAAAAATACAACAGAGCCAATTCTGAGCAAAGCCATGAATCAGCTTCCCACTCTGGGCAACAACTGAACTCAAACGTTTAAAAAAAGGGCATTTTCTGGTGGACAAAATAAATTAAGAATCTGCTGGGCTGCGGAGGGACTGTAACAACAATACCTGCAAACCACAGCAGATGGTGCCACCACCCGATTAATCTGATTAAGTGAATCATTTCTCATTGCATCCACCACCCACCCGCGACAGCCGCCAGCACAGTCCATCCCTGCAGAAGACAAAGCTACACATCACCCCTGCCAGCCCCAACCTTGGTCAGAACCCAAAGTGAACCTGTATGATCTTCATGTCTACTTGTTGTAATTTGCTGGTTCCTGCAGCAGCCAATTCGATTCTGTTCTAACAAACACCCTCCAGTTTTGTTTCACAGCATCACAGAACGTTGTGAGTGGGAAGGACCCACGAGGATGCTGGAGTCCAACTCCTGTCCCTGCACAGGACAATCCCAACATTCACACCATGTCCCTGAGGGCCTTGGCCAAATGCTGCTGGAATCTTGTCAGGCTTGGTGCCATGAGCACCTCCCTGGGGAGCCTGTTCCAGTGCTCCACCACCCTCTGCCTCAAGAACCTTTTCCTCATGGCCAACCTCACCCTCCCCTGCCACATCTTCCTGCCATTCCCTCTGCTCCTGGCATTCGTTGGTGGCCAGAGAGAAGAGATCAGCGCCTGCCCCTCCTCTGCCCCTTGGGAGGAAGTTCTAGACCCCCAGGAGATCTCCTCTCAGTCTCTTCTCCAGGCTGAACAATCCAAGTGACTTCAGCCTCTCCTCATACAGCTTCTCCTCTAAACCCTTCCCCAATTTTCTGAAGGTTTTGTTAAAGATTCTTTGCTAGGGAAGACAGAGAGATGACAAGACTTGGAAGAAAACATATTTTAGAATGGAAAAAAAAAAACAAACCACCAAACCAAGAAGCCAGCAGAGTTGTCCTGCTATTGACTACTCTTCCCCTTTTAAAACAGATCACAATACCAGCAACAAAATCGTCACCTACACCATCTCCCTGGATTTCTGGAACTCAAAACTAAACGCTCACTAGCAAAGAATATTCAATCAACGGGCCACTAGCTCAAAGAACAGACTTAGAGAGGGAACATAGGAGGATGAGGGCTCAGTTATTAAATAATCTGTTTATTGTACGACTTTGACAAAGGGGGGGGAAAAAAAAAAAAGACAAAGCACCCAAGTAGAAAGAATAAAAATGTATTTTCCTTCAGGTTTTAGACTGACACAGCAAGTACAAATCCTTTAGTGCGAGCACTTTGTGGCAATTGGGAAATTTAACAAACCCCAAGTGAAGGAGCACACGGTACAAGAGTGAATCCTGCCAGCTGATTCTGCAGGTCTCCAACTCACAAGCTGGCTCAAGCCTCAGCTATCGGGGTAAAAACAACCCCCAAGCCCCCTCCTCTTCCAGTCAGGGGTGGCAGAGGGAAGGGGACAGGAAGGAGCTCTCAGAGTCAAAGCGTGCAAGACCCCTTCTAGGAATAAAACAAGAAGTTCTTTCATCAGCCAGAGTCTCCAGTGCAGAGGACCAGGTGAGCTTTCAAGACAACACAAGGACTTTGTTTGCCCTGTCACTGTGTCTTCACAGCACGCAGGCAGTAGGAATTTTGGAACCCGGTCCTGTCTGCAGTCCTTCTGTAACAGATATGGAAGTGACACAGAACTGGAAAACTCCAGATGAAAGCAGGGAGGGAAAAAAAAAAAAAAGGTCAAATCAGCAGTTTAAAACTCTTTTGGTATGTTACCTTCCTTTAATTTTAGATTATATGCATAGAGAACCTGATCTACCCCTAAAAGAACATGCAGCATGAGTTGCATTAAGAAGCCCAGTCGAGCACTGGACTGGAGAAACTCTTTTTCAAGTGGATTAAATGACACTGAGGTTTATGAATGAACGATCCTTACAAACCAGCATTTCCAAACACACAAACAGAAGTGACACGTAACAGTGGTCTTGGCAGCTTTGGCAATGTCATCATCTCAGAGAGCAGCAGCAACTTCTATCCTCTGAGAGCCACCACGAATCCAAAGGCCTGTTTGGTCCAGGGTAAGGAAGTGCCTCTGAAGTCTCAACGTTGCCAAATTTTGCTTTAGAGTAGAGTAGAACACATTGAATCTGTAATAGGGTGGGCAAGTCTAGAAGCCATCATAAAAACTATCAAATGCCACAGTGATTTAACTTTTAATTAATTAAAATTAACCCATTTACTCATTATATCCAACCCCCCTCTGAGAAGTTTATATAGAAACCCCACAGAACATTTTTACTTGGGGTTAACTCTAGAAACAGCTTCTAATCCAGTATTAACATGGAAAAGTCAGTTCTCTTGCACTTCTGCTAAGCTCTCCTTGTGCTAATAGCCCAGAAAATCAAAGGCAGTCCCATCCTGGGAAGTTACTTCCAAAGGTCAGCACCTGAAGCAAGTTAAAGGGAAAAAAGGAATCTTTACACTGGGCCTTCAAGTGTTGATTTTGAAAGTCAAGGGCTGTGATCCAGATGCTGTCCCTTTTTTTTTTCTTGGGAGGGAAAAATAAATGGTCAAAAAAAAAAATTAAGAGCCAGAGCAGACTGCATCAGTGAAAGCCAATCTCTCCTGGATACAGCAACCACCTCAAGCAAGGCAAAAAAAGTGCCAGTAAAGGGATAAAAACCAGAAAACCTTACAGCTCACTGAAAGATTCAAGAGCTGCCCGCGACAAGGAGACCTCTCTGCAGCCAAAGGCTGCGCCCATCTCTACGCTGACCATTGTGCGTTGAGCCAGTTCCAGCTTTTGCTTATTTTGCTTCTCACCTTTTAGCCACAGGCATTAAAAGTAGAAAATGTCACCATGTCCAGAAACTATTCTGACTATCTGGGCCCAGGGAAGGGAAAAAAAAATAAATGGACAGGGCATTTTGGAGGAAGAAATAAGGGAAACTAAAACCCTAAGTTTAAAGAGCTCTTTTCAAAAGATTGAGGCAGCTAGAAGTAAAGAACTGTTATGTGACTGGAAAGCAAGGAATACAGTAGACACCTAGTAAATGATGGAGGATTTGGAAGTCTTTGCTCTACAAGGAACTACCATCACCATCTGTTACTTCTCACCCCACTGCCAGCTACTGGATCAACAGTGGGAAATTGACTCCTGAGTCAGTGACATAAAGAGGTGTTTGGATCTTCACATCCCCTCCACCCCCCCCTCCTGAAGAAAGGAGAGCTGAAATTTAGCTAAAGGAGCATATCTGGGCACAGGTGAGCTCCCATCTGTAACACACAGTGACTAACAGTGAGGAAACTCAGAAAAAAAACTTCATATTCTAGTTAATGAATCTTTGGCAAAACCCAATCAAGGTAAAACAGAGATGATACCCACTGGCTGCAGAGAGTCCCCATTGAGTCACACAAGCAAACTCAGCAGAACAGGTGAGATTTATCTAAAAATCTTGGAAGCCTTGGAGGAAGAACTTCACACTGAAAATGAACAAGGGGGGGAAAAAAAGAAAAGAAAAAGAAGAAGAAAAAAAAAAAGGATGTGGGAAGGGGCAGCTGGGTGTGTGTAGGCTACGCTGTAAACCAGAGTGTAGTGCTGTGGCATTGGGTTGAAGTTTCTAGGAGTTAAGCCAGGGGTGCCTGAGACACTCTGCTGCTGTAGCTCGTTTCTCTGGGATCAGCTCCAACATAGGTAATAAGAAGTCTGTGAATGCAGCTGCTTCGTCTTGGGACCACTCGTATTTTTCTACCAAGACTTCAAAAAGACCCCAAGGCTTCAGTTTGGTGATGTGCTTCAGATCACCTGAAATTCAAGATACACAGGTTAAGTGTAAGACATGGGAACAGAGCAGCTGAATAAAAGAGGCTGAACAGCTAAACAAGACAGACTGAATTCAGAAACTGTTCTGAACAGTTGGGCACAGGGAGTATAAAATGGTAGGGCGTGCTGAAGGAAGAAATTAATTATACTAAAGCCCCTTTTCTATCTGCTTTTGAAGACTCTTCTAGAAATGTACTTCCCTGAAGACTTCTTTTCTTCCCTCCTGCTATTTCTGATCCAGTATCAGCAAATATCAGTGGTGAGACACTGGCCCAGGTTGCCCAGAGAAGCTGTGGCTGCTCCTCCCTGGAAGTGTTCAAGGCCAGGCTGGATGAGGCTTTGAGCAACCTGGTCTAGTGGAAGGTGTCCCTGCTGCTGGCAGGGGGGTTGGAACTGGATGAACTTTAAGGTCCCTTCCAACCCAAACCAGTCTGGGATTCTATGAAATATTGTTTAACTTCATTAAA